ACCCATTGCTGTCAAGTCGATTGAGACTCATAGCCAACCTGTAGGACAGAGTAGAACTACCCCATAGGGTTTCCAAGGCTGTAAATCTTTACGGAAGCAGTCTGCCACACCTTTCTCCTGTGGAGAGGCTGGTGGGTGTGAACCACTGACCTTTCGGTTAGCAGCTGAGCTCTTAACCACTGCGCCACAAGGGCTGCTTACATGAAGATATAGGAGTCATTAAAGGCAAAGGGACAAAATGTAGTGGGGGGACAGAGAGGTTGAACTGGGCTCTGCTTGGGCAGACATGAGGGGGGGCTATGAAGAGAAGAAGAAGAGACTTCCCTAAGGAGCCCCTGCTTGAGTTAGGACTTATAGAGTGCTCAAAGGTCCAGGGAAGATGAAGTTACCTCTGCACAGGACTCACAATGTGACCCCACGTCACTTGCATTTCAACCATTTGGCCATAGCAACTGCCATACTGCCTCTACTGGCTACCCAACGTTTATTTTTTGGAAATACAATTTTACTTATTTTGTTGTTGTTGTTGAGAATATACACAGCAAAATACACACCAATTCAACAGTTTCTGCATGTACCATTCAGTGACATTGATTACATTTGAGATGTACAACCATTCTCACCCTCCTTTTCTGAGTTGTTCCTTCCACATTAACATAAATTCACCATCTCCTAAGGTTTCTATCTAAGCTTTCCAGTTGCTATTATCAAATTTGATCCCATATAGATAGTTCTTAAAAGAACATACAGTAACGCTCAAGGCAGACTTTTTTTTTTTTTTAAGAGTAGAAGTTTTTATTTATTTTTTCTTTTATTGTACTTTAGATGCAGGTTTACAGAACAAACTAGCTTCTCATTAAACAGTTAATATATATATTGTTTCGTGACATTGGTTACCAACCCCACGACATGTCAACACTCTCCCTTCTCAACCCCGGGTTCCCTATTACCAGCTTTCCTGTCCCCTCCTGCCTTCTAGTCCTTGCCCCTGGACTGGTGTGCCCCTTTAGTCTCATTTTGTTTTATGGGCCTGTCTAATCTTTGGCTGGAGGGTGAACCTCAGTAGTGACTTCGTTACTAAGCTAAAATGTGTCTGGGGGCCGTACTCTCGGGGTTTTTCCAGTCTGTGTCAGGCCAGAAAGTCTGGTCTTTTTTTATGGGTTAGAATTTTGTTCTACATTTTTCTCCAGCTCTGTCCAGGACCCTCTATTTTGATCCTTGTCAGAGCAGTCAGTGGTGGTAGCTGGGCACCATCTGGTTGTACTAGACTCAGTCTGGTGGAGGCCGTGGTAGTTATGGTCCAAGGAGTTTTTAATTTTGATGAAGTCCAAGTTATTATATTTATTGTGATGATGGTTTCATGTCAGATGTTATCAAATCGTACACTTTAAATATGTGCAGTTAATTGTTTTTCAATTATATTTCAGTAAAGCTGTTAAAAGAAAAAAAAAGGAGCCCTGATGGTACAGTGGTTAAGAGCTCAGGCTGCTAATGGAAAGGTTGGTGGTTGCAATCCACCAGCTGCTCTGTGGCAGAAAGAAGTGGCATTCTGCTTCCGTAAAGATCACAGCCTTGAAAACCCTATGGGGCAGTTGTCCTATAGGGTTGCTAAGGGCAGACATTTTTTTTTACTAGTTAAGCTAAACTATTGTTAGGTTTTAAGAAGACTTCAGGGGATATTTTTGGTTTAAGGTTTAAAGATTACTTCAGGGCAACAGTTTCAGGGGTTTGTCCAGCCTCCATGGCTCCAGAAAGTCTGGATTCCATGAGAATTTTTAATTCTGTTCTGCATTTTCCCCCTTTTGATCAGGATTCTTCTATGGAGTCTTTGATCAAAATGTTCAGTAATTGCAGCCTGCCCAGCATTTATTTATTGAGCACGACTGTATGCAGGCCACCTATGTTGGGGCTAGGAAAGGAAGGTTTCAAAAGTAAGAAAAGACTCCCTCTGGGAGTGTATAATCTTCTGGGGCAATGGTTCGTGCGATACATTATCATATGAATGACCTGGGGAGATACCACTCAGGTCTCCATCAAGAAAGGACCCACCACCCAGCTGCTGACAGCCTCCAGCCACTGGCTCCCTTAGGGTCTGCCTCAAGCTCTTCACAGGGTACCCCCAGCCGATGCCTGAGCACCCTGAGGGTCCTAGGGCCTGGCTGTTTCTCTCCAAGGTGGGGTTCTTCTAACAGGCAACTTTTGCTCCCGAGCTTCCTGTGAGCAGGCGGATGGGCAGAGGTTTTGTCATGTCTGGATTGTGCTCTGACAGCTCCTCCTGCCCAGTCTTCCTTCTCCCTTTTCTGTTCATTCCCCAATAAGACCTTTGCATGTCTACCTCCATTTCAGGGACAGTTTCCTGGAGACTTCAAGCTGTGACACTCCTTAACAATCACCTGCTATGAAGATGGTACTGGGTTGGGGTCTAAGGGGAGATGGGTGAGGGAGATGTGTCCAATACTAAAAGTTTCAGGATTTCAATGTGCGAGGAAAACCAGTTGCCATGGAGTCGATTCTAACTCATGGTGACCCCATGTGTGTCAGAGTAAAACTGCACTCCATAGGGCTTTCAATGGATGATTTTTTGGAAGTCGGTTGCCAGCCCTTTCTTCCAAGGGACCTCTGGGTAGACTCAAACCTCCAACCTTTTGGTTAGCAGCTGAGTATGTTAACTGTTTGCACCACTCAGGGACTCCCTCACTCTGTGAGGTACAGCACTTACTCCTTCATAGCATCTTCTCTCACATGCCAACCTTGACTCATCTAAACCGTCCCAAATTCATGGGAGTGCCTCAAAGCCAAAGGCCTTTGTGTTTAACAAAAGTCATCCTTCTTAGAATGCAATTGTGATTTCAAATAATTACCCCCATTCCCGACTACTCCAACACATACACACAAGTTCAGGGTTTTATTTTGCTTGTTATTTTGCATATTGTATTGATTTCTTTTTCGCACTTAACAATGTCCAAATCTTTAATAATTAACATCTTGGGCTTTCTTCTAATACATATAGGTCCACTTTATTCGTTTTTAACAGAATAGTCTACTTTAGAATGTACTAAAATTTTGTTATTTTATTACTGATGAACATTTAAATCGCTTATAATTTTCTGCTACTACAAACATGCTACAATGAACAGAGACTTGTGAACAAAAATAACAGGAAGATTTGCTTAGCCACTTATTAAAACATGTTATGAAGCTACAATAATCAAAATGGTAGGGCATCATAGATAGAACAATATAATAAAATTGAAAGACTAGAAACTGACTAAATGTATACAAGATCTCGCTATATCATAAAGATGGCATTTCAAATACATGGACAAAGAATGAATGATTCAACTAATAATGCAAGGACAACTGGCTATTTGTTTAGGAAAAACATAAAGCCAGATCTCCTTCTCACATCTTTTACCAAAACAAATTCCAAAATGATAAACAATTTAAATGAAAAGCTGGAAACGCAAAAAGAAGGAGATACCATGTAAATTAGTACAGTTCTGTCTGAAGTGGGTAGGCCTTTGTAAATTTGACACCAAAAGTAGAGCCATCCACTGATTTTTACAAAAATGTAAAAATTGTGTACACCAAAAACCTTCATGTACAAAATTAGAAGACAAACCACAACTAGGAAAACAATTTACACCATACATGAAAGGCCATATATAAATACTTTTAAAAACAGAATCAGAAAATGATGAATACCCAACAGAACAAAGGCCTTAACAGGCTTAGCCCAATAAAAAAAATACCAATGGCCAAGAAACAGGAAAATATGTGCAAACCTGAGAGTTATCAAATAATGCAAATTAAAACAGAATTTAATGCCTTTTTTTTTTTTGCATATCAGAAAGGTAAAGATGTAAAAGAACAATAGTCTTCAGTGCTGGCTCAACATAAACCAACAACCTTTCCTGCATCCCAAGTAGGAGTAAAGTGGGACGGTGTTTCTGGAGGGAGGACAGCTGGCCAATTCGGACTCAAAGCCCTAAAATGCACATGGCCTTTGATCATTTTCCTTTTTCACATGGTTGCACGGTATTTCCCAACTTTTCTAGAGTAAGTGTGGGTTCTGGGCCTCCCCTCCTCTCCTCTATTTCCCCAGGTCCCACCAGTCTGGAAGTAGGAAGGAGATCACTTCGACCACTAACCACATTTCACAGGTAGTGACTTCTCTCTACATGATGCAGGAGCCCAGTCCCATGAGAGTCCCCTGGTCATCTCTGTGACACCTAGCAGGAATCCCACAAGCTCACGAACATCCTCTCACGTTCTCCCTTCATCCCCCCGCCTCTTGTTGCGTCAATTCTGGGTGTGACAATCTAGGTTGGTGCCCCTGTCTGGGGCTGCCAGCACCTGACGGGAGCATGCCCAGTCCCCATGCTGCTCTTCAGCCCTAAACCACAAGCTCCCACCTG